ATTTTCATTGTCTCTTGCATCTTAATTAATCTAATGTAATAAATATTAACATTGTACTTTATATGATGCTTTTGAGCCTCTGAAGATGTTAAACACACAAATTGTTTTGCAAAGGAAATGCATGCTGCAGTGTGTAATTTAATGTTTGTTACTATGGGAATGGGGGAATTCTAATTATTTAATATATGTTCTTCTGAGTGAGCAAATCAGATAGTAATCAATAGTGTAATTTAGACTACATCCCTCAATTCAATTTCCAATTAACTCCTCTGCACCAGATTTTTCTAATGCTTGTTGTGGTCTCTTCCTAATAATCTATGTGCTCATGAATTTTTATATTGGGGGGGGGGGGAGCATGATGCATAGTAATTGTGAAATAGAAATTACCTTGGCTGTTTTGCATTGATAATTGAAATTTAAAGGAAACCTGTTATGAGAGAAATGTGTAGAACTTCATTGCTAAACTTCCGTTCAAAATGCTAGTATCCTGGCTGCTAGTATGTGTTGGCACCAATATTTTCCTCTGGAACACATATACTGTAGAGATAGGAAATACTGGCTCTTCTCTGCCTTTCACTTGGTGAAGGCTTATTCCAGGTCCGCGATTCAGCTGAAGTGAAGTTAGACACCTCCAGGCAACTAACTTTTATTAAAGCAGGTTAGCAATAACAGCCCCCATATTTTAAGTGTAGTTTAAAGTAAACAATTTTTTTTTTCAATAAATGTGGAATTTATATATTTAAATGATTTCTATGGCCACAGCATACACTTTTATTTTAAATCAGAGTAATAATAACAAGACAAACAATATGTTGAAATCTAACATAAGCTTACGTGAAAAATATCCTTTTGTGTTGTGAGTGCTCTGTCTACTGGCCATCACGTTCTATAATTTCCAGAATTCCCTGCATGTTTTGCAGCTTCGCCTCTGCTGTCTACTTTCAATTTCCTAAACAATACATATCCCATGGCATTTCGTTGCCTGCAAGAAAAGATTCCTATGCTGTCTCCACCTCCTGAATCTCAACCTCTCAGCACCTCTGTAGTTCAAAAGGCAGGCTTTATGAATTCTGTGACACAGCAGTGCCTAGATACAGGGCATAGTGAATATGAGTCACAGAATTCAAGGAAGTAAATATGTGGAGATCTTCACAAAGTACGTTTACAAACTTCAAGGTTATTCAGATTAATAGGAAAAGCTTAGACATAATTTTAAAACAATGTGGAAATTAATATATGATTTTAAAATGTGATGATAATTACACTTTAAGAGCCACCATACAATGTAAAACATTGACATTGCTCAGAGCAGGGGTCGCTAAACTATGGCCCCTGGTCCACATTTGATGCATTAGGAGATTTTACTGGACCTGTAAGGAGCAATCTTGATGGGGATACTGATATAAGGGGGATGCTGATGGGGACACTGATGTAAAGGGGTCTCTGATGGGGGCATTGATGTAAGGGGGTATTCTGATGGAGACATTGATGTAAGGGGAGATTATGATGGGGACACTTATATAAGGGGAACTCTAATGGGGATACCGATGTAAAGGGGGACTCTGATGCAAGGTGGAACTCTAAAAGGGTTACTGATGTAGGGGGAGCCCTTATGTACAGGGGGAAGTTTGATGGGGTCACAGATGTATGAGGAAACCTGATGTAAGTAGAGCCTTGATGGGAACACTGATGTAAGGGGGACTCTGATGGTGCACTAAAAAAAAGAGGGACTCGGAAGGGGACCCTGATGTATGGGGAGACTGTAATGGGGACACATGTAAAGGGAAACTCTGATGGGGACACTGATGTAAGGGGGGGCTCTGACATAAGGATGCACTGATGTCACTGGGGACTCTAATGTAAAGGGTTCTTTGATGTGGACACTGATATAAGGGGACCCTGCAAAGTACCCTGGATTAGAAAGGTGGGATTGAATATTTGTGTTCCACCTTTAACAATGGCTCATGTTTATTTGAATTTCTTTGATTCTCTTTACTGAAGTTCTTTTTCTATGGAATCATATCATTTTGGTTGAAAAAAAAAAACGTGAAGTAAAACGTGTTAATTTATTTAAATTGTATTCATTTATTTGTAACACAGGTGTTACAAATATTTGTAAAATATACAATGTGATCCTTATACTGAGGTATGGAGACCCTAGCTTAGTGTGTTGCAGCTAATAGTTGAAGATAGAAAAAATTTTATTCATAGATGCTCAACCTGTTGCCCTCCAACTGTTGCTGAACTACAAGTCCCATGAGGCATTGCAAGGCTGACAGTTACAAGTATGACTCCCAAAGGCAGATTGAAATTTGAAAGGATATTCAAGATTATGCCTAGTATTTATAAACTACAAATAAGTGCTCAAACATACACTTTGTAATATGTTAACCTAGGTTACATGTAATTGTGAATACACCCCAATCCTTGTAGGAGTATTTACATATATCCAGCTAGATCTGAGAGTTTCTACACAAAAGAAGTAGTTCCATCTGCAATATGCATTTATTGATAGAGTTACATAATATAACTCTTGGCGGCACAGTGGCTTAGTGGTTAGCACGTCTGCCTTGCAGTAAATGGGTCATGGGTTCAGTTAACGACCATGGCACCTCCTGCATTTAGTTTGCATGTTCTCCCTGTGCTTGTGTGGGTTTCCTCCGGGTGCTCCGGTTTCCTCCCACACTCCAAAGACATGCTGGTAGGTTAATTGGATCCTGTCTAAATTGGCCCTAATATGTGTATGTATGAATGTACGTTAGGGACCTTAGATTGTACGCCCCTTGAGGGTTAGGGACTGATGTGAATGTTCAATATATATGTGTAAAGCTCTGTGTAAATTGACAGCACTATATAAGTACCTGAAATAAATAAAAATATAAAATATATACAAATTACACGCTAAGCAGTATATACAACACAATGTACAGTTTAAGTCCCTTGACCTATACGATATTTACAATTTACCCACAAAACCATGTTTACAATACAAATGTACAATACAAGTATGAAGTTAGTTTACCTCTCAACTTCAGGTCTGGTCATGTTGCCTGCTGTGTGTCCCAACACAAAGATACCCACAACTTAGTGACCAAGCATTATATTCTCCCCCTCCTTTCTGTACTGTGTTTAATATAATGCTCCCTAATTGGTTACTGTACCTAGCAAATGTATATTGGGCACAGCCTGATTGGAAGTTCAAAGAAGGCTGCTGTTTACAACTTATTTGATAAGGGACAACAAAACACCGGAACTTACAGTCAGGTCCATAAATATTGGGACATCGACACAATTCTAATATTTTTGGCTCTATACACCACCACAATGGATTTGAAATGAAACGAACAAGATGTGCTTTAACTGCAGACTGTCAGCTTTAATTTGAGGGTATTTACATCCAAATCAGGTGAACGGTGTAGGAATTACAACAGTTTGCATATGTGCCTCCCACTTGTTAAGAGACCAAAAGTAATGGGACAATTGGCTTCTCAGCTGTTCCATGGCCAGGTGTGTGTTATTCCCTCATTATCCCAATTACAATGAGCAGATAAAAGGTCCAGAGTTCATTTCAAGTGTGCTATTTGCATTTGGAATCTGTTGCTGTCAACTCTCAAGATGAGATTCAAAGAGCTGTCACTATCAGTGAAGCAAGCCATCATTAGGCTGAAAAAACAAAACAAACCCATCAGAGAGATAGCAAAAACATTAGGCGTGGCCAAAACAACTGCTTGGAACATTCTTAAAACGAAGGAACACACCGGTGAGCTCAGCAACACCAAAAGACCAGTTGACCAGATCAAGAACACTCTCCAGGAGGTAGGTGTATGTGTGTCAAAGTCAACAATAAAGAGAAGACTTCACCAAAGTGAATACAGAGGGTTCACCACAAGATGGAAACCATTGGTGAGCCTCAAAAACAGGAAGGCCAGATTAGAGTTTGCCAAATGACATCTAAAAAAGCCTTCACAGTTCTGGAACAACATCCTATGGACAGATGAGACAAAGATCAAACTTGTACCAGAGTGATGGGAAGAGAAGAGTATGGAGAAGGAAAGGAACTGCTCATGATCCTAAGCATACCACCTCATCAGTGAAGCATGGTGGTGGTAGTGTCATGGCGTGGGCATGTATGGCTGCCAATGGAACTGGTTCTCTTGTATTTATTGATGATGTGACTGCAGACAAAAGCAGCAGGATGAATTCTGAAGTGTTTCGGGCAATATTATCTGCTCATATTCAGCCAAATGCTTCAGAACTCATTGGACGTCGCTTCACAGTGCAGATGGACAATGACCCAAAGCATACTGCAAAAGCAACCAAAGAGTTTTTTAAGGGAAAGAAGTGGAATGTTATGCAATGGCCAAGTCAATCACCTGACCTGAATCCGATTGAGCATGCATTTCACTTGCTGAAGACAAAACTGAAGGGAAAATGCCCCAAGAACAAGCAGGAACTGAAGAGAGTTGCAGTTAAGGCCTGGCAGAGCATCACCAGGGATGAAACCCAGCGTCTGGTGATGTCTATGCGTTCCAGACTTCAGGCTGTAATTGACTGCAAAGGATTTGCAACCAAGTATTAAAAAGTGAAAGTTTGATTTATGATTCTTATTCTGTCCCATTACTTTTGGTCCCCTAACAAGTGGAAGGCACATATGCAAACTGTTGTAATTCCTACACCGTTCACCTGATTTGGATGTAAATACCCTCAAATTAAAGCTGACAGTCTGTAGTTAAAGCACATCTTGTTCATTTCATTTCAAATCCATTGTGGTGGTGTATAGAGCCAAAAATGTTAGAATTGTGTCGATGTCCCAATATTTATGGACCTGACTGTATATAGTTGAAAACTATATACATTTACACCTGTATGGAAGCTAGGAATAGTTTGATGCTGCAAAACACTCAATGGTTTAAATACTGTATATTTCAATCTAACTAAAATATACCGTATTTTCCGCTCCATAAGACGCACTTTTTTCCCCCCAAAAAAGGGGGGGGAAAATGTCAGTGCGTCTTATGGAGCGAATATGGAGCAGCCGGTCCGGTATTTCCACCCACAGCCGCCGTGTCAGAATACTGGGCCGGCCGCTCAGCTCTGCAGCGGGACCTTATGGAGATGACTGCTGACCTTTGGGGAGGGGGGAGGAGTGGGTACTTGAATTTGACAGGTACCCGCTCTTACTTTCATTTCATTTTCAGATGCATTCGTTAATTGAAGGAGTTGTTCTTTGACTTTACCTGTTCCTCTATCCAGCGGCGCGCTGTCTTCCCGGCTACTGTAGTGTGGGTGCTGGGCATGACAGCCTTGTGACAAGTGCGCATGCGCAAGAAGCGGTTCTTTTTGTGAATGGTAAGGCGGTACCTGGGACACATGACAGATCCCAGAAGCCGCCGGACCAATCACAAAGCGCAAGTTGCTTCTCGCTCATGCGCACTGGGCACCAGGCTGTCATGCCGAGCGCCGACACTACAGAAGCCGGGAAGACAGCGCGCAGCTGGATAGAGGAACAGGTAAGATCAAAGAACAACTCCGCGGAAGTAAGAGCGGGTACCTGTCAAATTCAGGTACCGCTCCCCCCCCTCCCCAAAAGTCAGCAGTCATTTCCTGTGCTGTCCTCAGTCTCTGGTCATCCCTGTGCTGTCCGCAGTCTCTGGTCATCCCTGTGCTGTCCGCAGTCTCTGGTCATCCCTGTACTGTCCGCAGTCTCTGGTCATCTCCTGTACTGTCTGCAGTCTCTGGTCATCCCTGTGCTGTCCGCAGTCTCTGGTCATCCCTGTACTGTCCACAGTCTCTGGTCATCTCCTGTACTATGTCTGCAGTCCATTAGTTCAGAATTTTTTTTTCCTGTTTTCTGCCTCTAAAACCTAGGTGCGTCTTATGGTCAGGTGCGTCTTATGGAGCGAAAAATACGGTACTTGTAATTATAATATTATTTACATCTGTTAATGGAGATTTCACATAAACTCATTATCTAGCAAATATATGTTTGTCAGAGCCACTAACAAAACTCAGGTAAGTTGTGGACTAACAGGGTGCCTCCTAATGGGTTTCGCAACACATCAGGCAGCACTCATACCTTTTTAGTTTTCTGTCAGAACTCAGCCTTTTCAGCCAGATGCAGCTGCCACATCAGAGAGCTAGAGAGAAAGACCTGCATTAGTCAGCTGGCATACAGTATAAAGGTCTGTGGACAGCTGAGACTAGGAATGAGGTCTGGCTACAAGGCAAGAGGTGGACCTAGAAATGAAGCCTTTATCACACCCCAAGTTTTATAAAAGCTTCTGAGCTCCAGGACCCAGAACAGAATCTATTTAGTTCCTGAGGAAACTAAGAGTTTGTTTTCACTATATCAGCCATAAAGCCCCACATCAGTTGCAACGTACACACCCACATTCAAAATCCTGCAAGCCAGAGTGTCACAACATACGTGTGTGTATATATATACACACACACAGTAAACATACATATACTCTAGACATGTGCGCGCCAGAAAATTTCATTTCATTTTCATTT